ATGAACCTCTGGCCCGGACTTGGAGATTCCAATTCTGAGCATTTTGGATGCAATTGGGCTCGAAAGTGGCGCTTTTTTTGCCATGTTGTGGAGGGATCGTTTTTCAACATGGCAACTTTTCCGCTTTGGGAAAAATAGGGGTCGTCTTCTTTAGGTGAGAATTTCTCGAAAAGTCAATGGTCAACACACCAAAAATTTAAAAGAAAATGAAAGATGACATGTTGATCATTATTTTTCTGTGCAGCTTAAATACCTGTGAAAGTTCTGAGTATTTTTAAAACAATTTTGAAGTATGGGCATTTAGCATTTGTGACTATGGGTATTTTAATACAGGGGTGCATCCATAGGCAGATGAGGAATTAGCGTAACGTTCTCATCGGGCCTTGACAACCAAAGGACTACAATAAGGCACACCAGTATAACTTTCCTCCGGGAATAAGTACTTGATTAAGGAGTACCTGTTGACCTGCTCATTCGATTTTATTCGACACGGCATAAGCACGACGTCTGAAACAGGCCTAGCATTTACATCCAATGCAAATTTGCAGTCAACAGAACGATCTTTATCCAAGTAAGATTTCTGATAATATTTTGGGTAAGGCAGTATGAATAATTATTGCATGTTCAATTCCACTAACTTGTACATATATGTCGCGCATATTAAAACTTTATTGTATTTGTCCACAGAGAAACTTTACAAAAATTTCAAACTTTATTGTTACCATTCAATATCTAAACAAATAAAAAGAGTATTTCTTACGGCTGAGACGTCCAAAATAAGAGAACAAATCTTATTAAAAAATGGTGGTTATCACAAAAATACTTCATTGTTTGCACAGCCATTGTACCATGCATACCCCAGACTGTATAAAATGAAATGTATGTTTCTTTCTGTATACATTGTGAACGTGCATGTTTAAAGGTTCGGAAATAAACCAGATGAATGTGTACCATAATTTTTTCAACAAATTATTCTTTAAAACAACTTTCTTATAGAATTTCTAAAGGACAACGAGCTGAAAGTTGAGGAAAAAGTCCACTGTTGACATCGCACGTGATTAAGTTTTTTTTTCCAGACTGGATTATACATAGTACTCGCCAAAGGAAATGTAAGATTTAGTTTTGTAAAGAAGGCATGTTTTTTTAAAACAATATCTTTCAAATTATTCAATCGACTTTTACGAGACAATTGTGTCTCCTGGATTAGATTGGCTCCAAGCTTATTAGATTACTTCATCTTCGAGTCTTTTATGGCCAAACTCTCCCTGAATTCGATTTGCTGACCATTCATTTGTTGTAATCTCCGGTCTTATTGTCTGCAATCCAATTAGAACATTGCAGTGCCGTTTTTCTGCAATATATTCTATTAGTTACCGGGGTTAATTCTGTACGTATACAGAGTCCCGGTGAATTGATCTTCTCTGGGGGAATCACTTTTCCCCTTATTAGGTACAGACTTCGTATAATTCAGGCATTTTAAACTTAATCAAACCTAAGCTCCCCCCCCCCCCCCACACACACACCGCCCCCTCTCTCTCCCTCTAAAATAAACAAAGGAACTGCACTTAATTTTCTAGAGAACCACGTCAGATTTTTGGCAAACCGACGTTAAAGGGAATATACAACATTTGCAAACATCGAAAAATAAAACTACCAAGTTTTTACAAAATACCTTACTAGGATGTTGGTAAATGACAGTCTCAAGCATCTTGTAAAATTATGGCACTTGGTGTGAAGTCGTTTTCAAGAAAATGGTATTTTTGTAAACATTTCCAACTGTGGTCGGCCGACCAGCGTTCGAAAAACCTAACTATTTTTCAACTACTGCTCCAAATTTACCATTTTTTCAGTCCAAATTTTGTTTGCTATTGGTTACATGTTCATGATGAATGGGTGCAGGCCAGCTAGATTGGGTTCCCTTGCCTTACAATTTTCCATCATCTATAAATTGATCCATTTTATCTTTTGTGGAGTCAGGGAACCAGACTACTTGAACATTTTTGTTTTTCTTGGTTTTTCCAACCTTTTCGAACACCAAACTTCAAAAATGTCAGTGTAACAATATTTGATCTATTATACTAACCTCTCAAATAGTTCATTTCTGAAAATTACAGCAAAAGCCAATGATGTACACTCCCTTTAACATAAATCTATATATATATAAGAGAGAGTTTAACTCGGCCTCCGAGACGATGTTTGCTCATAAAAGGATCCGAGACCGCGGGCTCCCGCGGCGCCAAAATCGCTCCACGTCCGTGGAAAAATGCGGAGGGTGTCTTCCGCCGGGTCGGACACTTCGGGTCGTCCTGATTTTCCCGTACGGACCGGCGATCCGTTTCGTCGATTTTTCGTGACTGCGTTTTGCGCAGGAATTTGCCGTCGTGTGCGCTTTCACGTTTACTGCCTGGCCGCCCCCTTTGCTGGCTTTTCTGCGTGTCTAGACTGTGCGAGGTCAGCGGCTTCGAATTAGGGGTTGCGTTTACGTGTTCTACTCGGCTGTTCTGCAAAAGTGTTCACCAAACGGTAGCATGGGGTGACCTTGGCAAAATATTTTTTCTCCATGGTGCGTGGCCACCAAGTGTCCCTATCCTTTCATGTGCTTTGCTTGCCGCCCCTGCGCCGAGTGCAACGAGTACTCAGAAGGACTACACATTAGTATGCCTTGCGCGGTCTGACCAATCGAAAGTCTACACTGCGTAGTATTTCCGGGCTATGCAAAACTGTCGATGGCAACGCGTACTGCAGCCTGCTCCACACCCTGGAAACGAGGTTGGGTCTACGGTGCTCGCTATTTGAAGCGCAAGCATGTGACGTCGCGTGATAGAGTGCTGTTGCTTCAATGTGTTTACAGCTCCATGCTAACACCACCAAGGCTGAGCGTTGTGAGTTCGCTGTCCGCCACGTATAATACAGTGTCGTGTTATAATTTCGGGGGCCTGTTTGGGGTCAACGAAGGATCGATGCATTCACAAAAAAATCGATGAAAAAGTGTCCGACCCGGCGGAAGACACACACATTTTTCCACGGACGTGGAGCCATTTTGGTGTCGCGAGAGACCGCGGTCTCGGATCCTTTCAGGAGCAAACATTTCTCGGAGGCCGAGTAAAACTTGCTCTTATATAGATGGTTGAACCAACTTCAATAAAAGTTAAATCGACTTTTTCCTCGCAGACGGTCTTGCAAATTGTAAGAAGTTCAAGTTTTCGTTTGTTGAAGAGTCCAATACTGAAACTTAATTATGACCTTCCTCCATGATTCGGACCCTTTGTAATTTTATGGGTAACACACAACATTTTCATTTCAAATGACACCTTTACGTTTTATTGCATTATGATTTATTGTCAAAACTGTACAATCAGCGTTCGCCTGTGTAACCTTTTCACTGCGTAGTGCCTCACAAAATGCTAATTTAACAGACCAACGGGAACATTTACAGACAGTTGCCATGGTTCATAATTATCATGTGCGTAAATCGACGGGGGACAGGGGGACCCCCCCCCCCCCCCATTTTAAATCGGGGGACATTGTTTGGTCCCCCCCCCCCCACTTTTTCTTCCCCGAATAAAAATTGTAGCCTACAACAATGATTCTATTGCTCAGAATACATGTAGCTGATTCAATTACTCAAAACTCAAAACTTTAAAAGATGATCTTTTGCTGAAATTGGTTTAAGTGGTCAGAAATTGCCTCAGATCACACCACAGAAATTGCTTTTCTATAACTGCATGTCTCCTTAACTATATCCCCAATTACATTTAACTCCCCAAATTTTCATCCCCAACACTACGCCCTACCCGATCTATGATCGGGTAAATCAGCTTGTAAAATATAAATGTGATCAATGTATTGGGGGAAAAAAGGAAGCCACGAGCGTTTCAAATTTAATCATGGCCGCTCTTGCAAATTTTGTTTACTCAGGAATCTCATTAAACATCGAGTATTCGGACGGTTTCCGGCGGTATCAGGGCCTGGGAGTAGGCAGAACGGGAAGGGAGCCACGGTGACTAAATGTTTTCAGAAAAAACAAAGGACTTTTGTCCTAATTCCAGGACTAAAAAAGGCTTTGAATGCATGCGTTCATCTTTAATATTGTGCACCTTAGTGCGTTCTTGCTTGAAGCCGATTTTCTTTTAATTAAATACACCGTTGTTGGTTTTCACTTCCATGTGGCGACTGTTTTCGTTCGAAGTTCATACGGGCGCCCTCATGCGATGGAATTATGTACAATGCCAGACAAGAATTCTTAAATCAATGCCTGTCCAAAAAGCGAGTGATTTAAGGACAGCAGTATTTCATCCCGCGGTACTTTTCCCAGATGAAAAGTCAATTCGCTCTTTCACGCTCCGCCATTGGGCATGGCCGGCCTCGATCTGGCAACTTTACACAATGAAAATAGCCGGTTCAGTGATCTGAACCCCGATACGGGAATCACTGAACCGGCTATATTTATTGTGTAAAGTTGCCAGATCGCGGCTCTGCATGCCCAAGTGTAAAAAGAGCGAATAGCGCCCCCATCACATACTGATTAACACAAGAGGGCGTCCTCTCTTATCATCCTGTACAAAACGCAACATGTAGAAACCGGGTCTGATCCAGGTTTGGCTCAAAAAGAGGTTTTGCTGTCGTGGGGTAGCAAGCGTATGCTATATATATATATTTTTTGCCCAAGGGTGTTGTTATAAGCCTCACAACACCCACCTCCACCCCGTAGATCCGCCAATATTCGACGGACGGACGGACGGACGGACGCCGTAGGCGATGACAACACCCCTCGAGCCTCTCGGCTGAGGGGTAAAAATGTCCTCATTTTGAAATTCCAAGATGGCGGCCAAGATGACCTTAGAACAAATGGAAACATTGGTTTTGGGGTTCAGTAGACCCTAAGGTTTCCAAAAATGTATAGTTTACGTAATCCCCAAAAAATCCCAACGAAACGTGGATTAAGTACATTGTGAACCGGACTCATAAGGCCTAAACATTTCATTTACAAGGCGGTTTCTTCACATTCTGGGAAATATGAAATCCCCCGGTGTTGGAGTCCGCGTCCGATAACTGCCTTCTAGAGCCTCCCCCTGACCGTCCATCTCTCGGTCACCCTCGCCGTCTCTCCCGCGGGGGAACACGGTGTCCCCCTTGGCTATGGCCTGCAGGGACTGCCTCCTGGCCGCTGCCAGGAGTTTCTTGGCGTGCTCCAGCCTCGCGTTGTAGCTGCTCATGCACTCCCGGTGGAAGTTCACCTCGCTCTTGAGGGAGTAGTTGTACCGGCCTCGCTGCGAGAAAACCTAGGTGAAAAGAAATAACAACGATCTATTTATTTCACTTTACATGTATTGTTCTGTCCAGGGTTGCTCCACCACTTTTCATGTAACTGTTTGCCGTGCTGGTGGTCCTGAATCAATCTGTGATTTAGCAAGATTAGGCAAACCTAGTCAAGCTGGACCCAGAGTGCGCACTATTCTATTCCTTAGCTTTCCTCTACCCGCCAGGCACACAAGTGATAGTCAGTCAGTCAGTTAGTGAGTCAGTAAATGTAACAGGTGCATGGAGGACACCTGGCTGGCCCTGAGACCCCCAAAAAAATCTAATTCAGTTTCTGTAATGGAGCTTGCCCAAAAAGTGGTGCGACGACGCGGGTTTTTTTCCCCAACTTTTTTTTTCTTCAAATGCCGGCTGATGTTGCAGATGACGCTTCGATCCCCTTAAAACCCCTTAATGACCTTCACTGTGGAGTTTGAAGTGACCTCAGTGAGGCCATAAGGCTTGAGTATTCTGCACGCACTTACGGTCTTGACCGACACAAACATGTTCTGGGAAATTTGGATAGTCAAGAAAAAATCAGAGAAAAGGGTAACGCCATACCATACAGCGACATCGATTTGTATGGCGATTCTACTCGTAGTAGCCCATTATTATTTTAAATTGAATGTTTCTATTTTGTTATCCACAAACGATTTTTACCTTTATCGTTCGAGATCATTTTGAACAAAACAATTCAGAAAAAGGGCCTGCATTTGTCCCAAAAGTCCTGAATTTGTGGGATTTCAACGGGTCTTGGTCCCTTTTACTTTCAATCTGAGATAGAGTGATTTTGAATAATATTTGAGTGAATTTGAATCTAAATGACAGGTTCTTAGTTTCACTCTTTGGCAGTGGCGTAGCCAGGAATTTTTCAGTGGGGGGGGGGGGGGGGGGGGGGGCGCTGGGGGGCTGGAACATTTCATGGGGGGGGGCGTCATGTAGATCAATGATAATTTTTTTTAGAAACTCAGTGGGGGGGGGGGGCGACTGGGGGCGACAAGGTTTCATGGGGGGCTACGCCACTGCTCTTTGGAAATATTAAGAGAGTACCAACCTTGAGCGTCTCAGGGTTCAGGGGTACTTCATCTGCGTCTTAAAACTGACTTTTTCAAGACGTCTTAAAACTGACTTTTGCAGATGTCTGTCCAGTACCAAAGTGACTTTTGCAGGCTAAAGCAGTCTTTTTTCTTCATATAAACTCATGTTAGTTTCAAAGAAAATGTGACTTTCCTACCTTTTTTCGCAGTCAGACGTGCATGTTGTAGTTCTCACAACACAGTAAAAGCCCTACATAATGAAAGCCCGATGCTGATTGGCTGCTAAAAAAAATAAATAAGATGTTTATTTTTTATCAGCCAATCAGCATCGAGCTTTCATCGCATCGAGCTTTCACGTTTGCCATCTTGGGTTTTGAGTCTGTTTTCTGGTTGTCATCGTCGTCTTTTACCCCTGAATTTCCCTCATAAATCAAAGCCCTGCCCTCTTTCCACAAAATTAAACCTGCTGATATTCAAGAAGGTGTCATTGCCAATTGTTCAGATGTGCCAAGAAGTATCAGATTGTCAATGTCATTTAGTCAACTGTCATGACTGTTTTGGTGAGTCTTTCCCTTCCTATATAGGACCGGGGTCCTAAAAGTAAGGATTACCAATACATTTCAAAGTACAACTACCATGATTATAAGAAAAGAAGAATGGCATACACTATACCTACAGTGACTTGTCCTATGTGACTGCTTGTGTTGCGATTCTGGAATCTGTTTGGCTTGCAACGCAAGGAGAGCAATCAGTCGGCCCGGGATGCATGCACAATATGTGTGGAACACGTGCAACATGCAAAAATAACAACAGCGTCATTGCGCCCTCAAGTGACAGCATAATGTTTCAAGATAGTGCTAGTTGACTGCTATGCCAGGAATTAGGCCTATGCATGCTTTGTATCCACCGTGCTATATTAGGCGTTGCCAGCGGGGGGAGGGGGGGGGTGGTTGTAAGGGGCATTTGCCCCCTAATATTTTGGTAAAGAGTGCCCTTCTTTTTAACAAGTGCCCTTTTTTTATAGCAAGTGACCTTTTTTGTGCTCAGTGTTGGCCTTTCCGGGTGCCTTTTTAAATTCAGTTCACGCACGTATGTATCGCCCTGAAAAGCACCATGTATCCCTTATTTTGCATAATCGTCGGTTTTGAACAGTGTCCCCGTCGACAGATGGTACCAGCCCCCCCCCCCCCCCCCCCCAACCACCACCACCGTGATTTTACGGAGCCCAAGTGTCCGGAGAAAAAACGTGTCTACATTTCAGCACGGATGCGCAGGTGCCCTTTCACTTACCCCCCCCCCCCCCCCCCCCCATGAAATTGCCTTAATACGCTACTGTATTTTAGAGTTTCACCACGAAAAAAAAAGGATTTCTTTTCAATTGCTATTTTCCTAAAAGTTAGTCACTTTTGAATCAAACATTGAACGAAAACAATCCACCGACGTTTAGTTAATATTGACTCTTTGCATTCTTTGGCTGCTTGAATTTTCAGAGGGTTGCAAACGCCCAAATTAAAATATAGGTTTCCCGACTATTTTAAAACATTTTTCGTTCAAATTCACCGATTCTTATATTCTATTTCGTCTAGCTTCATCAATTTATTGCACTTTCAATGTTTAATTTCGTCTTTTGTCAGAGAATAAAGTTAGTCCAAACAAATTCAAACAATTAGCACACGTTTTCGACCCGGTGTATTCGATTTCGTCTCGTCTACGCCGAATCGTGTTATTCAGAAATCAAATTCGTCTAATTGATTGATATAAGACGAATTTGATCTCTGAATGCTGCCATTAGGCATCAGCTTAGACGAATTTGATCTGTAATGACGAATATTCTCTAAAAAGGGTGACCAAACTTTGAAATTGAATGGTAAATGATTGTTAAAAGCATGTGGAATTTTCCTCGGACGAAATTGAATGTTAGAGTTGGTGAATCTGACTATGAACTTGAATAATGTTTTAAAATAGCCGGGAAAACCTGTAATTTAGTAATAAATTAATAATTAAGTATTTTTTCAATTAAAACAAACATACAAATTGAACATTTTTCAGGAGAAAAGGTCAATTTTTGAGGAAATCGTTTCAAATTGTAAGCTTCGATAAAACCTTCCAATTACAAAGTATTCATTTAGCTCTTCTTTTCCATTTTGTCCACTTTATTCCATTTTCCACATTATTTTGTATAATCATAGGTTTTCCCGGCTATTCTAATTTCGTCCACGAAAAATTGCACACGTTTTTAACAATACCAATATATTAGTCATTTACCATTCAATTATAAAGTTTGGTCACCCTCTTTATCGGGTCGAGAAATAGGCATCAAATTCCTCTAAGGTGTTGCCGAATGGCAGCATTCAGAAATTAAATCTGCCTTAAATAAATCTATTAGACGAATTTGATTTCTGAATAACACGATCGGCGTACACGAGATAAAATTGTAACACTCCTGGTCGAAAACGTGCGCTCATTGTTTGAGTTTCTGTGGACTTAATTTGAAATTCTATGACTAAGAATGAATTTAATCATTCGAAGCGCACTAAATCGTTGTTGCTGGACACATTTGAATATAAGAATCGGTGAATTCGAACGAAGAAAGTTTTAAAATAGCCGGGAAAAAAACCTACCTTAAATCATTGAGTTTTGTATACTTGATAGATTTAAAACAAAAAGAAATGTCATTCCTCCTTTTTTTTTTTTTAAATCTCTCACAATTACTGCTCCAGTTCTTTCTTTTGAAAAACAACAACACCAACTTGCACCAACTCCACCAACAACAACAACAACACCAACTTGCCCTTACTCTTAGCTTTAATAACCCATCGCTATCCACATTACTCGGAAATATAATATTAATAAAGAGCATGTGCGTCACGCGAACATTAATCAAATAATACATTGAGGACAGGCCCCAGGAGAGAAACCGGCCGTGAATTGCACTCACTTACCATACGTGGAACATATTGAGTGAGTGAATTTAATTTAATGTGTTGCATCAAAGCGAGACAGTCTTTTATACTCGTCGATGAAGTAAAATGTAATTTTGTTAATAGCTCCGAGGCGCTGGAGGATTTTTATAAAGGGAGGTACCGTACTACATTTGCAAACATCAAAAAACGAAATGACCAAATTATCACGAAATACCAAGTTACTGCATTGTAAGGGAATGACAGTCTAAAGCATCCTGTAAAATCGTGGCTCCTGGTGTGCTGACATTTTCAAGAAAAAATTGTAATTTTCCAACGCTGGTAGGCCGACCAGCGTTGGAGAAAACTGGCTTATTTTCAAAAATGCTCCTAATTTTTTTCAAATTTAGCTATTCTGCATTTTCTTTGCAATTGAATACACACCAGTGAAGAGGTACAAGCCTGCTAGACTGATTCACTGACCTTAAAATTCCCCAAAGTCTACGAATTGCTCCGTTTCATCTTAAGTGGGGTCAGGGAACCAGACTACAAGAATATGATTTTGTTTTGTTTTCCCAGCATGTCAGTTTAACAATATTTGCTATTACATTCTAATCCTCCAAATCCATATGTTTCAAAAAATTGCAGCAAAAGCAAATGTTGTACATTCCCTTTAAGTCTGAGAACAATTTTGTTACAACGGACGCATGCGCATTAGGCCAAAAAGTAAAAATTTCTGTTTCTGTAAATTTGTTTCAGACAAAATAATTGCATGCCGGCAAACATGTTTTCTTTACCTCAGGGTGGATCCAGAATAATTTTTTTGGGTTTTTGTTTGTTTTTTGGGAGCCCAATTTTGGTCCCAAAAATGTGGGTCCAGCAAATTACGACGTGGGATTCGAGGGCTCTGTGGTCCGATCTGAGGCAATTTCTGACTACTTTAATCGATTTTTTTTAAGGAAAAGGTGGTGTACTCAGTGCCTGCCTTTATTGCGACGTCAATTAAAAAAAATAAAAATAATAATTGGTTTCATTTTTTTCGGAAGGGGGGGGGGGGGAGGAGGGGCATGGCGCCCGTTCCCCCCCCCCCCCTCCGATCCGCCCTTGCCTACATGTCAACTATGATACTTGCACATCTTCGCTGCCCTCAAACATTTAAGGAAAACAGTACCAAGTGGTACAACCCATGGCGGCCCGGTAACTGTTAATACGACTTACGGAACCGTACGTGCGCGCACCCGGGCCGTAACGACTTTTTTAATATAGGTTTTCCCGGTTATTTTAACACTTGTATCACTCGAATTCCCTATATCGATACTTTAATTTCGTCCCCGAACATCGCCAAGCTCAATTCTCAATCTGAATTTCAAAAAGCCACCACTAGATTTCATTTAAGGTTCAGTGTAATTCAAATTGTTAGCATTCCGATTCGTCCAAAATCTTTGAAATTCGTCTCGTGAAGCAATCGGCGTTGAATTGACAAAGCAAGTTCGTTTTTTGTCATTCGTTTTCATGTTGTTGTCATTACATTTCGTCCCTGGTGACTTAATAGATCGTATACGATTAGAA